TGAACCCACCCCCCACAAGGTGAATTTACTCAGAAGCTGGGTGCTGAACCAATAACTGATTCACCACGCTCTGAAAGACAAGCGCTAGAAAGGGATAGACATATGGGACATATGGTCTCCCCGGTTACCTTGCAAGTAAATGCACCTTGGATGGGTCCATTCTGTGCATTCATTTTATGGATCATTCTTAGTAGCTAGATGCACGAATGGGCTCGAGGATGCAGTCTAGAGAGTGTGCAACTTCAGAGCGCCATGGAAATACTGAAATGTACCCTGACTCTTGTCTCTCTATCAATACTGATGGGTTGCAGCTGGATCAGGGCGGGGGTGTTGGTGGTCCGATTGGCTGAGCCAGTCCTACGGACCAGATTGAGCCGCCCTCACATGGTGTGGGTGCGGGCCACGGTGCCCCGCCGCTGGCGTCGGGACTAGCTGAAGATGCTCCGTCATAAGCTGACGAGCGTGGCCTTGCGCTGTGCCTCCAGACGTATCTCGAGCGTGGCATAGGGCGGCACACTGATCACCAGCAGCACCACCAGCGCAATGATCTTCAGCGACTCGCAGAGGAAGCCATGCCCGGCGAACGTGAGGCCCAGTCCGAGGAAGCGCAGGGCCTGCAGTGGCGCCGATACCTCCGTCACATGATTCGCGTGATTGAGGGTGACCAGCGAGAGGAGCAGCGTCTCCCACATGCCATTGCAGGCGCCCCACGAGGCGGCGATTACGTAGAACAGAGCGCTGTCATCGTTCGACGGCTTCCAACTGGACAGAGCGAGCAGCAGGCAGGAGTGAAAGAAGAATCCAGCCACTGAAAGCAGAGAGACATGAGTGGGGGACAGACTCTCTGTCTTGTTTGGAGGATACCTACAGATCACGACGATGCGCTTGACATGCCGCAGGAGCATGCTCAGCGTGCAGGATACAATCAGCTGCATCAGTCCCATGCCAACCATGGCGCCAGCAATCATGCCAATGCCCAGCGAGCAGGAGACAAAGGCACGCAGGAAGTCGCCCAGCATGTAGGCCTGCTCCGTGCCCACAAAGTAGGCCAGCGGTCCGGCGAAGAGCAGCGTGTCCGTAATGCTGCTGACGTCCTTCAGGGCTGAGCTACGCTCCCCCTGCACCTTGCCCACCACCGCCACCAGCGACAGGATCAGCGAGGCCAGGGAGAAGAGCACGTACAGCCAGAGCAGCGACTGGCCACCAGCACGAGCGCCGCTCTCGATGAACCCCACATAGATGGAGCGCGGCATGGGGCTGGCTCCCGTTTCGTTGGCCCAAGCCGCGGCCAGCGGTTGCTGCACCCTCAGCGGGCACATGTCCGCTCCACAAATGCGCTCCCCGTGCTCGTTCCGGTTGAAGAAGTCCCGCAGCTGGGGCGCACTGGCATTGCGCGTGTCCGCCGCGCCGGAGCAGCTCCAGTCGCTGCCGTTGCACACGAGCAGCAGCGCGGCCAGCAGGGCGCCAACGATGAGGCCGAGGTCCTGGGAGGCGCGGAACCAGCGAGCCAAGCGGCGCACCTTCTGCTCCCGATTGCAGAACATTTTGTGCTCCTCGTTGAGCACGTCCACGGCGGCCTGGGCCTGCTGCTCGCAGGCGGCCTGGGAGCAGCTCAGACGGCCACCAAAGTGCACGATGAGCGCCGCCTTGCAGCCATTGGCGCCGCTGATGGTGAGGCCCAGCAGCAGGTAGGCCGGCAGCAGCGTGTAGATGGAGGCGTAAATGTGCGACAGGACGAAGAGCATCACCGCGAGGTAGTTGGCCGCCAGCAGAGGCGTGTAGCCGTAGCGGCGCATCAGCCATGCGCTGGGCAGGCACATGCCGGCGGCCAGCAGGAAGAGGCTGCTGAGCAGCAGCGATCCAATGTCCGGCCCGATGGGCAGCCACTGCTCGCGATGATGCCACACCGCATTGGAGCCCTGCAGCGCCATCATGGGCAGCAGCACGGCATTCATTAGGCCATGGGCAATGGCCAGGCAGCTGAACTGGCGCCACACCTTCTGGCGCACATGGGCGGGCACTCGGTGACGGCAGTTCCGATTGTTCAGCGTGATGAGCCGCCGTATGGATGTGGCACCGATTGAGCTGTTGATTGACTCGCGACGCCTCGAGGCCGCCAGCGCCGCTTGCACCTGGTACGAGGACACCGGATTGATGCGATGCGAGCGCGTGGACACCGGCGACGGGGAGTACGCGGCAAAGTGCGCCTGCAAGCAGAGAAGCAAATCGAAAAGTTAAACAACAGCAAAGCGGAGCGCGAAAGGATTTAGCGGCTTAGGCGCAGGAAGCACCAACAAGCGCGCTAAGCCTTGCAAGCTGCTTCCGGCGGCAAACAAACAACGCCTGGGGCCTGGGGCCTGGGGCCTTGGGCCAACCATCCACCCACGCAGCTCCTGGCACTTTAATTACAGTTGAAGGAGACTGTGACTGGCACTGGCACTGACTTAATTATTTTTATTTGTTGTGCAACTGGGGAAAATAATCCGTTTTCATGCTCTGACATTTGCGGAGCTATCTTCACCCCAGTCCCCAGGCAGACAGCAGAAGCGCTAACTGAATCCGAGTGTGGAGGGAGGGCTTAGGATTCTATAAATAAATGAAAATGACGAGTGTGCCGGGGGCACATGCACTCACCTCCATCATCTGGTCATCCCAAACATTCTGAGCGCCGCCCGAGCTGCGTGTACGCAGAACCCGATGCCTGGTGGTCAGCGAGTGGCGATGCTGATGCAAATGCTGCAGCTGATGCTGATGCAAGTGTTGATGTTGATGTTGATGCTGATGCGGAGGCACGTGCTGATGGTGCGTGTGCGTTGTTATCCTCTTCGTGGTCAGCCCCAGCATGGCAAAGCCGCTGAACGTGCTGTTCGTTGTGGTTGCCGCCGTTGTTGTGCTCGCCGTGGTGGCGACGCCGGCGGCCAAGGCCTCCGATTGTGCGGCAGCAGCTCCATTGGCAATGGGTAGGTCTCCATTCACCGCGCCGGCGGTCGAAAGACTCAGCGAGCCGCCGCCAACCCCCAAGCCGGCCATGACATAGGCATTGTACGAAGATTGCTGCAATTAACGGACAAATAATTCGAGAAATTATTAACGATCGATAACGATGGTCAACTATCGATTGTTTGGGTCTCACCTTGCGCTGCTGGGCGAACACGGAGAGCCGCTCCCGCTCCCTGCTGGTGTCCTTGGCCCGTTGCTCCAGCAGCAGCTCATACTCCCGACGCTTCTCACGCTTGCGCTCGGCCGCCTCCAGCTCGTGCAGGTTCGGCAGGCTGCCCATCGCGGCCGATCGCTGTGCAGCCTTTCGCAGCCTTCCGTTACAATGTTATCGATGGCTGTGGGCTTTGCTTTGAATTCTATGCAAATCGCAGACAGAGAGAGAGCGACAGAGAGAACCGGGCGTAACTGTTACTGTTCCAATGCAACACTCAGGCTGTATCACTGGTGTCCGAACGTGCCGGAAGCGGCTCGTACTCGTGAGGCGCTGGCATGTCCACCCCATGCAATGCGAAACTGTCTCTCTGGCTGTATGCTCGTCACTGTAACGGTTGTTTTTGTTGTTCTTCTTGTTTTGTTCGTTCTCCTACCCGTTGTGGTGTGCGTGGTCATGGCTGCCGCTGCCACCGCCGACACAGCACAAGCATCCTACTATAATCCTCTGCAATGCGATGAGCTGATTTAATTACTTTTTGCGCTGCACTGGCATTGAGCGCGGGTTCATTGCCCGCCACGTGGGTGGGGGCCGCACACGAAATGCAGTTCAATCATGCGATAGTTTACCCCTGCGAATGGAGACAATTATTATTAATATTTTGCATACATACGCACGTACATATGCACATGACCTCTTTTCCCACACTGGTGTGTTTGTAGCTGTGTACCTCATCAGGTGTGTCCCCATTTTGAGTTATCTACACACACACACACACACACACACATGTAACACATGCTTGCATTTGGGTACATCCCACACATGAGGGACACAGCGTGCGTGTGTCCCACACATCATTTATGCATGTACACAGTCATGGCATGGCATGGCATGGCACAGCATGACATGACATGCAAAATTATTTATTCTTGACCTCAGGGATTCTGGACCCCATAATCAACTCATAAACAGTCCTACTTCGGTTGTATCAACCTGAGTTGGCCACCCCTCTCCCCCGAGGCCCATCCAACGCCATGCCCTCAATTGTGGCGCAGTTGCGATTTTGTGCCACACACACACGCCCCGAGGGGGCCTAGGACTCGCCCCAGAGAAGGCCGCAAAAAGGGAACAACAAATGTAAAGCGTAAAAGAGGGAGTCTATGATCTAGGGTATATTATGTACCTGTCTATAATGTAGAAACCTTCTGGATATTGGTTTAAAATTCACTTTGCCAGGGCCTCCTCCTCCTCGCTGGCACATCTGCACTTCAGTTCTTGGTATTGGGCACGGGCACGGGCACGGGCTCTAGGTTCTGGGCCCTGTTGCCGCACTTCACTGGGGGCTCACTTTGTGGGTCAGCAAATTGTTTATAAGCCCCCCACCACCACCACCACCGCTGCACCACACGAGCAACAGCAACAACAACAAAAAACAGACTCAAAAGCCGAAAAATTGAGGGTCATTCCACTCAGAAATCAGTTTCAGTTTCAGTTCCGTTCAAGCACACACACAAGCACAGCCACACGGTCACAGACACGGCCACAGGCAGGGACAGAACTTCAGGTCTCCTTTTGGTGGTGCCGCGCACTCAGCCTCACGCAAACTACTCCAAGAATATACTGAACACGGGAAGATAACTGCTGCTGCTGCTACTGCTGCTGCTCCTGTTAACGGCTGTCATCTCCGTTGCCTTCGATGGCATCGCCTTACTTCGCGCTGACATGCGCACAACTGATTGATGCTGGGCCACGCCACCCCAACTGCTCACCCTTCAAATATACACACAGCCCAGCCCAGCCCAGCACGAGAGTCTGACACCCACACAATACAGGTGGATGGCGCAGGGGGTTGTCTGTTGATTTAATTTTATTTTAAAACTATTTGCAAATTGGCTAACAAAAACACGTGCATAAGTGGGATAATTGTTTTTAAAATGAAGGACACGACTGTCAGCACAGTGGCGGGTGTAGGGGGATGCAACGAGATATAACGGTATAACAGTTATCGAAATGCAGTTGTCATGAATGTCAGACATTTGTCTTTGGGGGTAAACAGTGGATATGTGTGTGTGCACACACACACACACACACACGCACACAGCAAGGTAGATTCAAGTATTGCCCGAACTTTGAGCTCTACAACGGCATTTTGAGGGGTCTAGTCCCGCCAGGTAGCCTCCGCCACAGGATAGCCAAAATTGAGATGCAAATTACACCAACGCTGATGCTTGCCGCCCAGCGCCGACTCGGCCTGCCGCACCGCCTCGAGAAAGGGATGCTTGCCATAGTCAAACTTGTCCAGCTGCAGCGAGTTATCCATCGTGGCAGTCAGCTCCGTTTGCAGGCGCACGCACTGCTCCACAATGAACTTGAGGGCGGCACGGCGATGCAGCTCGAAGCAGTCACGCGGTCCGTACAGTGCCCGCTGCTCCTTGCACAGCCGCATGTCGTAGGCAGCCACGTTGCAGCAGTACAGAAAGGAGCGCAAACGCTGGACGCTGACAGTGCTGCGGTTCATGTGGGGCAGCATCAGTTGAATCAGAGCCTCGGTGTTCGGCTCACAGGGCAGCCCGTACTCCGCGAGCAGCTCCAGGAGGCTGCCCAGCTGCGGCTGAGCCTCGCCGCTGGGCATACAGAAGCACAGCTCGTAGGCGCGACCGAGCAGCACCTGGCGATAGTGGTAGCAGCTGTAGTCGCTGATGTGCTTGCGCAGAAACTTTTCCGTGCGCATCAGCTCCGACTGCAGCAGGCAGGGGCCGCTCCGCAGCACCCAGTGGCGATGGGACCAGGCGTGATAGTTGCTCGCACAGCGATCGGCAGACCGCTCGCAGATGCTGATTTCATTTGGCCAGTCAATGGCATCGGCACCTGCAAAATGGATGGCGAAACTGGATCTTAGCTGGGGAAGTGTTGAACTTGCTCTGGGACATACTTTGAAACGAGTAGAGCCAGCGGCGGTAAGCGAACGCCTCGTTGGACTTTGGCTTGATGGAGAGTACGAGGGCCGAGAACTGCAGCTCCTTGTTGATGCTGAGGCGATTCTTCTGCACCAGCTGGCGGCGAATGTGCCAGAAGGTGGTCACATCCGGATTGATGAGCAGCGCCACATTCAGATACTTGGCCAGGGCATCGCTCTGCTGCTGCTGCTGCAGCGTGCGCAGCTGCTGCTGTGACGTCTGGCGGCGATGCGAGATGAGTGTGCGGTGTGCATGGTCATACACATGCTGGGCACACCACGACTCCAGGCCCAGATTGTGCTCCACATGCACCACCGGCGACTTGTTGCAGTTCGTCTCCTTCGGTATAATCTCGAAGGATGCCCTGCGAATTGAATAAGTTGATTGATGCACGCCACAGCATTTGCTTGAACTCACAGATCGGCGTCCTTGAGGAAGACTGCATTTATGTCGCGTATAATCTTCTCGCAGAGCACACGCTTCTCGTTGTTGGCGTCGACAGCCATGTCGTCCTCCATTGTGGGCTGAACTGGCGCTGTGTGTTGGCTCGGCTGCTTCCTGGCCTGCTTCCGCTTGGTCTTGTTGATCGCTTGCGTTTGATTCGAATGGGGTAGAGGCACATTGATTGCTTTCAATTAACATTCGGCCGCAAAATTCCCTGCGGCCTGGTCGGACCCTGGCCTGGCCGAGGGGCTCCAGTTAATTAAAGAATCCACAGCCTTGGATGGAGAGGCTGAGGCTGAAGCTGTTACGGAACCATCACAACAAATAAATTTCAATTAAAAACGAATTTATTATTCGTATTCTAATAGGTGGCCAGCCGGGTGCGGAATGCGAACTGGAACTGGGACCCGTTACTGGCACCGGCCACAAGTCGATTTCGCAAAGATTAACCCAAACTGTGGTTCGTCGTGGCACACTCTAGTCTCTCACTTTACTGTTTGTCACACACTTGGCGCGCCCAACTGCCCAGTCTCTCTCTCTGCCCAGTCACAAATTGATGTAGATTCAAAATTCAAATGCCAATTAGTTATGTTTGCGGGGAGGAGGGGAGCGACCATATGATTGATGTGCGGGACCACTTTACACTGCTGGTAGTGAACTTATCGATCAAATATACCGTCTGGACCTAAAACATATGCAGAAATATACCATTCAAAGTATACCAAAGAAAAGCATAACTCTCAATTTCGATGTTCTGTTTAATATTACCTGCTGCTTCAGACTCTTACCACTGAATTAACAATTTAAACCGATTTTTTAATCAATTTGCTATAATCTAACAGATTATAAAGATTCCATTTTACTGAATTGTATATAAAAGACTGTCCGGAAAATAAAACGCATACAAGGTAAAATCCACCGAGTTGCCAAACAACACCATCATATATACACTTATCGATATCGAACCCTGCCACTATTTGAGATGGTACTGGACATCGATTATTGTATCTTTTTATTAAATTTAACAACACCCATCACTATTGAAGGTATTCTGAAACACGTGCGATCACTGCACAAGTAAATAATAAAAATAACAGTATGGACAGCCGGTTTTATGCACTTAATACCCGAAGATTTCAGCAGCGGGCGCAAGTAGAGACGCCCGACACAATCTATTGGGAACGGCTAGAGGTAATCAAGACCAAAATTCCGAATCCAAACAAAATCAACAAGTAATAATTTTGTTCTTGTTTTGCATTGTAGAAACCCGAGTTCATGAAGGAATGCAATACGATAGACTATTTGGATTTCAGCCCCACTGAGCCGGATAACTTTGTTGTGACGTGCTCGGTGCGCGTCCAAATCTACAATTTGGTCACCAAGCTGGTGGTCAAGAATCTATCGAGATTTCAGAAGACCGCGTATGGGGCGACGTTTCGTCAGGATGGTCGGCTATTGGCGGCCGGTGACGAAGAGGGCCATGTGAAGCTCTTCGACACGACCAGCCGGAACATCCTGCGCATCTTTAAGGGCCACAAGGCGCCTGTCCATCGAACCTTGTTCACCAACGACAAATTGCAGCTGACCAGCTTCTGCGACGACAAGTCGGTGCGGCTGTGGGACGTGTCCAAAGAGAAGGTGGTGCAGACCTACAACGATGCCCACACGGACTACATCCGCGCCGGCGCCATGAATCCGGTGGCGGGCAACATGTTCGTCTCCGGCGGCTACGATGGAAAAATCAATCTGTTCGACACGAGAGCAGAGAACGCAATTCAGCGGACATTGGACCATGGCAGTCCGGTGGAGTCGCTGCTCTTCATGCCCAATGGTTCCATATTCATCAGCGCTGGCGGCAATCAGGTGCGTGTCTGGGATCTCATCAGCGGCTGCCGCCTGCTCACAATGATGGCGCAGCACCACAAGACGGTCACCTGTCTGCGGCTGGGCACTGACGGGCGGCGTCTCTTCTCCGGCGGTCTGGATCGGCATGTTAAGATCTATGACACGACCACCTACAAGACCGTGCACACGCTGACCTATCCCAATGCCGTGGTGAGTCTGGCCGTGGCCGGCGCAGATCAGGCAGTGGTTGCTGGCATGGTGGATGGTCTCATCTCGATTAGGCGCATGATTGTCGAGAACAAGCCGAGTAACCTCAACCAGATACGGGTGAACCATGCATCCAAGGAGAAGAAAAAGAAGCTCGTGAAGAAGCTGCTTAAGCCGAACACATCGCAGGTGGTGGATCACACAATCAAGGACAGATCTAAGGCCACAAAACTGCAATCCTTTGACGTTCATCTGCGCAAGTTCAACTTCAAGAGGGCCCTGGATGCGGTTCTACTGCCGCGACAAGCGGAAAAGCATCCAGAGAACACGGTGGCCGTCATCACAGAGCTGCTGCAACGCCGCGCCCTGGACAAGGCACTCTCCGAACGGCCCGAAGCATTTCTTATTCAGTTTATCGATTTCCTCTGCACACACCTGCCCGAAGTACGTTTTATGCGTCCGCTCTTAAATGCCGCCAACACCATTCTCAATGTCTTCGACGCCAGTTCTACATCGTACGGTGCAAAAGTTTTGGAAGCGCTGCAACGATTGTCGGACACTGTTCAGGCGGAAATCGCGCTCACCTTCGAAATGTTGCAGCTGAAGGGCGCCATGGACACGATCATCGGCGTCTCTCTGAGCGACAGCGACAAGCCAAAGGCGCGCACAGTCGCAACAAAGGGAGCGAGAATGCAACCGTCCAAACGGGCGGAAAAATATGTGATCTATGTGGATTGACAGCGAGAGTGAAGGTAGAAAATAATCAGCTCCTCCCTCCTCCTTTTATAGCCGCTTCGCTAGTTTTTGAAATTAAAGTTCAGTTCCACCAAATGATGTATATCCATATATTGGGTGTTTGTTTCTTTTTATTAAATACAATACTTAAAATGAAATTATGAACCATTCGTTCGCCGTTTCGTTAATGTACAATTCAATTTTGCCTGCCATCAAAACAGAGCTTCTAATGGGTAATGGAGGAGGCAGCAAGCAAACTGTACTTTTACTTTGCTTTTAGTTTATGTTTATATATTCTGCAATTACTGCACCGACAATTCCTCTCCCATAGCTTCGTTTAGTTCCTCTTGAATGCAATCTGCATCAGGGCTCGGCAATGCTTTATCGATTGTGCATAGAAAAAGCCTCTGCAGTGGGCCTACACGCCTTCGACAGTGTTTGTACCAATACCAATACCAATACCAATGCAAAAGCCGCTCACGTACACGCAGCTTACAGTTATTTGTACCTATGCCTATTACTTACAGGGTGACGTCTTCCCCACAGGGTACAATACTCTATCTCTATCCCCTTCTAGCGCGTGGAGAATAAGTCAGCTTGTGGTAATTTTATCATTGTCCCGTTTTGCGTGCCGAGCCCTAGGGCTGATCAGCTGATCTACATATGTATGCACACACCCTTTTGCATTTGTAAGCCTTTATGTTTTGCTTTTACTCGACTCTAAATGTAGTTTTAGATTAACTGTAGCTTTACTTTATTTTATTTTACTTTATTTTATTTTATTTTATGGTACGATTATTTGGAAAGACGAATTTACACTTGAAGTTTGCTTTCATTGAAGTTGCGACGCATAGTTCTGTTTTTCTGTTTTCTGGTTTTTTTACGTTTTACCTTAACAATTAATATGTTCTTGTATATATCTATATATATATATATTTGTATATGTATAATGTATATGTATATTTATGCATGTGTTTATAGTTATACATATATAATATATATATAGCTATCGCGCTAGATCTGTGCCTAAGCTCTCGCCTGCTGCTGCTGCTGCTGCTCCTGCCGCTGCTGCTGCTTGCCTCGCACCAGTGGAGAGAATTTAATAAGATTACACACAAAAAAATTTGTTAAACTAAATAAGAATATAATCAGGACTTCAAGACTTAACTAGTTACAAATATGATGGGCGCGTTGGATGTGGCGGGAGGGAGGGAGGGCTACACGACTGTTTTTTTGTTGTTGTGGGTATTTTTGGTGGTTCCACGTTTGTGTGTGCGTGTGTGGGGGGCAGAAGTGAATGTGTGTGTGTGTGTGTCCAAGCGAAAGAGAAAATCCTGGGACCCACTGCATTTACAATTAAATTACAAATTACATTCATATACATAACAGATATTGCCTTTACATGCGGTTGCACTCTGTTCCATCCATTCCGTCTGCGTCGGGCTACGTGCACACCTGCCAACCGTTTTCCAACACTCTATACAAAACACAGCAGCATCATGATGCTACGAGAGAGATTGGCAGGGGGGGAAGGGCCTGCGCTTTTGCTTGTTTTTTTTTGCTCACTTAACCGCTAACACAGATTATTTATGCATCAAATTATATGGTCAGCTGGCTATTAAATATATACGATTTTGCTATACATAAAGAAAAATACACTATAATTTTTTGGAGACTTTCGTCCGTTCTGTTCTAACTTAGAGCGAATGTGTGCCAGAAAAAGGGGGGAAAGACTGGAGGCTGGATGAGTGTGTGTGTGTGTGTGCGCTGATGATGCTGCTTTTTGTGGTCGTAGTGTTGCTGCTGCTGCTGGTGGTGTTGGTAATTGTGTGTGTTTGTGTGTGTGTGTGTGTGTGTGTGTCCGGACTAGACTGTGTGAAACTGCCTTAGCCATCCTCCTTGGGCGGTGTGAACCAACCTGAAAATGAAATGCTTTCAATAATGACTGACACAAGCAGCTGGCAAAATCTTCTTACCATTCTTCTCATGGATCTGGACAAGGGACTTGAAGCTTTGCTGTGCTCGTGCCAGGCTATACTGGCCTTGGGTCAGTGCCTGTTCATGATGAGACTAAAAGGATTATTTCATTATCTCCCTAGCGAAAGACAAAGCACTGCCTACCTTGGTGGCTCCAAACTGAATTCGCGCCTTGCCCTTGACCAGTGTGGCGGCTATCTGCATAATCACCGCCTCGACAGTGTACGCTGAGCTCCAGCCCTGCTTGGTCAGCAGCTCCATGCAAATGGCGCCGCCAATCAGCACATATCCACCTGCAAAACGCAAACGAAATTGGACATTGGTAATTAAAATTCTTTCGGAGAGGCAAATAGTTTAAACCTGAGATGATTGGATGCACGACGCGGACAAAGGGCGGCTCAAAGGGATACGTCTCCTTGAAGAGTATGTTGAGGAGTATGCTATCCTTGCCCTCCTTCTCCTTGAGCATTAACAGATCACTGTGCAGCGGACTGTCGGGGTCCACAGACTTGAGGCGGATGTTCCACTCATAAATCGAATCATTCACGAGCTCAATCAAATACATATTCTTCTTGAAGGCGTCCGATCGATAAATATCACGTAGTTCCTTCATTAGGCGATCGGTTGCCTGCACGGAACCCGACACGGAACCCTAGAACAGAGAGATTATCGTTTAGAGTTTGGTTTTATTCACGTGAGACAGGGGCAACCCACTTTTAAATAGTCTTGTCTTTGACTTTGACGCAGTCTTTCTAGGGTCGCTAAGTGCTCCACTTCCATGTCATCTTTCTGCAATGATTTGATTAGTTTGGGGAGCAACAAGCGCTGAGAGTTTCTCGTTCACTTACCTTATTTGTACTCCGTACATCATCCATTTCCAGTGGCAAATCTTCATCGCCCTCGCTCTCCTGTTCGCTCTCGCCAATGGGATCCTCGATCTCATCCTGATCGGAGTCGGTCTCCTCGTTGCCACCATGCGGCCCCCCACCCATTTTCCGCTGTTCGCAGCGCAGCGGGGAAGCCGATGGCGGTGGCGTTTGCAATGGCAACGTTAAATTGTCTACATCGGGTGGCAGTGGAACGTTGTGTAAGCGGCACAGCTCGCGCAGCAATATGCCAACCTGCAAGCAAGAGTTTGTTCAGTTTTCTGCTATTCCTCGAGGGTTATTCCTCGTCTTTACCTGATTGATCACGTGATTATCACGACCATTTGTATTGCTAAGTATTTGAACAGCATTGGTGACGCTCGTCTCCTCGCTTTCGGCAAACCACACTGGCGGCGACGAGGGATACGTTTCCTGTGAGATCAATGGGGGGGATAATATCAATGTGTGTGTGTGGGGAAATTTTGCTGTTGTTTTGGGGTGGGTCAAGGCCTTTCTTACTGCATGTGTTTGTGCTCCCGCTCTCTTACACGCTCAGGTGGAATCGCGAAACGTTTGCCAAAACGGAACAGAGAGAGAGAGGGAGAGAGAGAGAGAGAGAGAGCGAGTGAGTGCGAGAGAACGAGAACAAACAAGAAAAGGGAAATGGCCAGGCAGAGCAATATTATAACCTTTAATTAGATCATTGAACCAAGCCGCGAGAGAGAGAGCACCGCACCGCACAGACAAACACAAACGACAACAGTCAAGCAGGCAGGCAGTCGCGGAGAGCTCGCTGGGGGCGATCGGGTGCAATGAATCATAAATTATGAAGGTAACATGCGCCAGCTCCACTTCACTTTGCTCCTTCAATCAAAAGGAAAGACTAGGCCAGCCGATGCAGCGAGACAGAGAGATACGCTGCGGATGTGCACAAAGGGCAACGACTATTTTCCATCTCACTCGCACGTTCACTGGTCAGCGTGGGAATAAAGGAATAAGCGCAGCAGCACACCCACACAGCCATGTACATGCATATGTGTGTGTGTAAGTGCAATACAAGAGAAAAGACAGCAACGAGAAACGATAAACGATAAAGAAACGCTAGAGCCGGGCATTGCCAGACGGAAAAAGGAGTGAAGGGAACACTTCAGTGGAACGGAAAGGAGAACGCATATTGCACATTGATTGAATGCATCGAATACAAAACTATTTTGGTACATATGGGGATATGTATTACAGGGGGCACTTGGTTTTTCTCCCACTGTACTCGTTTTGCCTTGCTGCCCTAAGCATCAATGCGAGTGAACGAGATGCATAAAGATGGCTCTGGTAGATCTTAAGTTGCTCATGTTCCAAGATCAAAGGACTTTAAGAATTATAAAATCTAATATTTTCAAATAGAAAGATCAAGATTTTCTTGAAGGAAAATGAACGCAAGCAAAGCAAAAAAATATAATTCAAATACAATTATGAAAGCAGCTCAAACCAGCTGTCTTACGCTCGGGTTTTACGGGAATTTCCCAATTTGGGTAACGTTCTCCCAATTGAAGTGACTGCCTTCTGGTGCGAGTTTATTACCATGGAATGATTATGTAAAGGGCAAGGGGGAACTGAGCGGCAGAAATCGTAGTACATTTCAGACAGATAGCTGTCGAAAAGATCTTCCCGGTATTCGGTTTACAATGAACAGGAGAACCTGGAGCAGACACCAATTTAGTGTAGAGAGTTATCTTCTGTGTTGGGCAAGAGATACCCCCACTGTGTGGCTTTCTACAGCAAACTATAGAATGTGATATGTGGGAGCGCACATGGAAGAGTATACAAAAGATTCAAGCTCCATTCTGCAATGGAATTCAAGTAGAGAACGGGACAATAGGAGACGGCATAGTGGGTGGAACGAGTGCGTAAGAGAGAGAGACTTACCGTTATATTCGCATGAATGTCGTAACGCTTCCCGTTCTTATCGATGAACCTGCAGAGGAGCTCGTCGACGCTGGAATTGAGTATCTGAAAGCGTTCGTGATTCTTCGGGAAGATCTTCTCCAGAGTTTTGATTTCCTGCTTTAATGTGTTGAGGCACGCCATATTGGCGGGCAAGGCAATTGGTCTAGGATGATTTTTGGTCCGATGATGCTGCTTGCTGTGGGGGCTGTCTGTCTGTCCCAGCTGAAGCTGAGCTGCTGTTCCCCCCAAACCCCGGTAACGGGTATGGGTATGGGCCCGGAATCAACGATGGCAGTCAGCAGCGGCGGCACACAACGAAAGAAAGCCAAAAGTAGTCGCAGTCGCAGTCGCAGTAGTCGCAGATAGTTGTTGTTTTTTTTCTTTGCTTGCTGCTGTCGCAGCAGAAATTATTGTTGTGTGGCCTGGCCTGTACTCGACACGACTCCCTCTTCCTCTTCTCACCTTTACGCCGCAGCACCACAACACCGTTCGAGTTCAGCCTTCTGCTGCTGCTGCTGCTGCTGGTTCTCCTCCGCCTTCGCCTTTGCCTTCGCGTCCTCCGCCTGCTTCTCTCTTGCACAACTTACGGCCTCTTCTGCTCTCTCCGTTTTTCGTCGTCTGCGTCGCTGTCGCCCTGTGTGCGAATGCTCGGCGATAGATGGCGTTTTTCTACTAAATTACTGTAACAATGGTGACAGCTCTTCTTTTTGTTGTAATTTGTTGTAACTCTTTCTTGTTGTAATGTTCTGCAGTGTTGTTGTGTTATCGTAGGTATCGGAGGTAGATTATAGCAGTTGTTTGTCTGATTCGTTGTCTCCTTCACAGTAACTGTCCTCCTGCTCCACTTTTGTTTACTCCTCTCCGGCACCACTCTCTGTGCACCACTGTAACGCTTCGGCACTCACACAGATGCTGTGGCTGCGTCTTCTTCCTCTCCTGCGGCGCACAGCATGCGCTCTTGTGTTTTCTTTTTTTCTTTGTGTTTGCTTGTGTGTGCGCGTCTATATTCTCTCTGGCGTTCAGTTTTTGCACTTTGATTTAGCTGCTTCCTTGCGGCTCGCCTCTTTCGTTACACAGCTTTGACTTTGACCAATGTCCTGGCCTGGTCTCCCGGCTTTAATTCACACTCTGTGCGTTTCGTTTCGTTTCGTTATTTTTCGTTTCGTAGGTATATGACAAATAAATAAATGGGATATTGAGATGGAGTAAGCACGTGTTTCACTCTAGCTAAAGTTCGTTTTGACTGATGTTTCAGTTGTTATTTGCCGAACGTCAAAAAACAACAAAAACAACAGTTGCATACACCCAAACACACACACACACTCGCATACACCTGTCATTGCACTCGACTCTCGAACATAAACACAGAGTAATCTACTACGGTGCTACCTCTATCTCTATCGCTCATAAGGCACATAGAGCAAGACATGCCTACGCAACGATCGAGCAGAAAGTTTTAACAAAACTGAAACTCTAAACTGAAACAACAAAAAATCAAACAAATTGTGCCAGGAAAAAAAATGTTTCTCTCGCTGGAGTCAGAGTCTTTCTTTCGCTGACTTTTTCTTTGATATTGTAACTACATACATACATACATATGTTTTTATGTACATACATGTAGACATTATTTTTTGACAGTGGACCGAGTGGGGGACAAAATCACAATTTTTACAGGAAAAATAAACTTTGAAAATGCCCGACGAAAGCCCAGAGCCACGACAGTCTGGTGGGATAGAAAAATGATGGCGAAAGAAAATCCGTCCCAAAGAGGAATTGAAAGTCTGGCAGCCAGTTCGGTCTCAGCCCCGCCACTGTGGTTGCACACACACACACTCGACACACTCGACACACAAAAACACAAACATACATATCTCGCAGCAGACTGTCAAAATCTCTTCGAGGCTCCACTGTGCGCTTGCGGCAGCTGAGAAGCCAGCTGCTGTCGTGCCGTATCATGCATAACCTTTTTTCCATTCGTTTTCAACATTGCATACACACACACACATGGGCACACTCAATTTGTAAATAGCCTTTAATTATTTATCAATATTATGTGTCTCTGATGCACTCCTAAACTAACTTTTCCCAAAATGCCCCCCACTCCCATCAATCCCATCCGCTCTGCAGACAGCGAGAGAGATGGAAAAGCAAATAACTCCTTTGTTTGCGTTTTATTGGCATTCTCTTGCATCCGCAAGAACACGGCGTAGCAGCAGACACACAAAAAGAAACGGTAACTCCTTTCTTTCACGCACCCCGAGAGTTCAGCACAACCAGTTCGTGTAATTTCCAAATCGCCCAAAATATTACAATGGGGCAAAAATATGTAACTAATGCCCACAAGCACAGGCCAAGAAAAATTTGTACAAAAAACGAAGAAAAAAACAAAATAATTCACGCATACACCAACAAAATGTATGATACGGTCCACGCACGTCCGCCCGCTTTACCTTTGCACAAGACGACTAGTGTGACCGCAGGCTTATCGAGCAGATATAGGATGACTCTCGGAAATATATATCGAAAAAATAGTTTTCAAATATATCGTAAATCTATCGATCTTAATCATATTCTCCAATTTTAATAGTCGGTATAATTTCACTAGCTAGCTAGGACCCTCAGCGCTAAGTACATAATTGTATCCAATTGATTAGTAAATTTTCCACAATATTGACTCATTTAAAGCACTCATTTTCTTGGATTGTTTATAAAATAGGTTATAGGCAATGAAGGCCAAGAACACGACCTGAACATACGACCGAAAATGTTGCCACTACGCCATCGAGTGGCACTATCGATTATTCTGCAATGCAACACAGCAACCCCCCCACCCAGCTAATTGCAATACATTTACCTGTGTTTTTATTTGGGAAACACTTATGTTTGCTTAAAAACCAGATAGATTGCACAAATATATTCGTTAACCATGCGCCGATTTTGCGTGGGGACTGCGGTTAGCAGCAGCTGCGGACTGCTTCTGCGCTCGGGAAATACGTATTTCTTGTTGTTATTATTTACTTGGCATGTATTGTATGGTTTTTGGCTCTAGCTTTTATCAATTATGCATTAATTGTGTGTTTTTTATATTGCACTTTGTATAACGATATGGTGTGGTCAGCCATATGTGTGTACGTAGGTTTGGCACTTTTGCAATTTCTCGGAAATATAAATTCCGTTTGCTTATTGAGATGGGTAACAACTAGGGCTGTAACGCCACTATCGATATTTCGCAGCACTAGGGATGAGCATCACAAAAAGCAACCGTAAATAATTTCGATATGTATCGACTCGCAGGGAATGGCATGGTGTGAAACATTCAAAAATTGATAAAGGGAAGGAAACCTTGAATGAAATTAATGAGCGTATACAAAGTATTACTTTGGTTTTGGATTTATTATTTTTGAGCTTGGTTCCTATCCCTATATGCAGCCTCCTTTGGGTGACACACACGCATACATACATCTACACAGATCATCGAAGAAGGAAAAGGAATAAAAAAAAACACAGCGGAATGGAGTGGAATTGGAATGGTTTTGAATTGGAATTGGACATCGTTTGTTTGCATTTTACATTTTGTTTGTGTTTTTTGTTGGTTTGTTTTATTAGATTAGAGATAGATTAGCAATTAATTAAACCCCGACTTTAGCTAATTTGAATACAAAAAAAAACCGTAGAAATAAATTCTGGCTGACGCGAAATGTTGCGATCTGTGGAGAACTGCAACGACCGGAACCCCATATCCCCCCACAAAGTTTAGTTTTTCGCATGCCCCTGAAGTTCGTTTCCATTCGTTCCGCATAGCCCCATAGCCCCCCCCTTTGCCCCATATATGCATTGCCGAACAAGTCCTTAAATCGCCAGATCTCTCGCGTCCAGCATTTCGCATCCAGCCTTTAATCTACTGCCCTCTGTCTGTGTCGTGTGTGGGGCTTGGTTTAGAGTTCGCTGTGTGGTGTCTGGGTGTCAACAGTGGGCGTGGGCGTGGGTGTGACCTCCGGCTCGGCGCCCTCTGGCTGCTCCTTGGCTTGATCTTCATCGCCGCTGCCTGCAGCCTCGCCTTCGCCTTCGCCCACCTTCTGCTCCTTCTCCTTGTCAGTCTCTTTGGGTTTCTTGTCCTTGTCAGCGACCTTGGGCTTCCAGATCTTGATCTTGTTCACCAGATACTTGACCTCGCGGTCCAGCAGGCTCATCTTGGCGGTGATCTCCTTGACGGTGAGGCGGACATCGGCATTGCGTGGCAACTTCTTCTGGGCGGCAGACTCAGTCTTCAGCCAGGCGCTGCTCTCCTCGATGACCTTGACGAGCGTGTCGATCTCCACCTGGGTGTACACATCCTTCTCTGGATTGGTGTCCTTGGTGAGATTGCGGGCGGTCACCAGGAACTTCTCGGCACCGTCGAGCATACCCTTCAGGGCCTTGACGGCCTCCGGCCGCTCCTCGTGCTCCCAATGCCGCTCAAGGAAGACACTCGAAAGCTTCTTCAGCTCGTGCAGCTTATCCTCATAGATCTCCGCCTTGGGATCTTCCAGATCCTCGTACAGCCACTCGGACAGGCTGCTGCACTCGGCCAGCAGCTTCTCCTTCTCCTTGGCAGTGGCGCAGCTCTTGTAGGCATCCTCGCCCAGCTTCTGCTGCACCTCAATGATGTGCGACTCGAGCGAGTTGAAGGCAGACTCCAGGCGCACACGCTCCTCCTCGATCTTATTGATGGCCGTCAGCTTGGCCAGCGAGCTGTCATAGGCGGCACCCGACAGATTGGCCGTAAACAGCACGTGTGTATTGTGGGCCACAGGCGCCTTGACAGTCACCAGCTTAATGGCACCCTCTGCCTCTGCCGCTGCCCCTGCCGCTGCCGCATCCGACGTAGTCTTCTTCTCCTTCTCCTTATCCTTTTGTTCAGCCTCTGCAGCGGCAGGCTTCTCCGTCTGACTGTCTTCTGTTTTGGGGGTTTCGCCTGTGCCTGTGCCTGCGCCCGCGCCTGCCTCCTCGGGCGCAGCCTCCTCCTTGTTGTCATCGTTGGAGTCGTCGCCCGTGTCTGATTTCTTGGTGAACAACTTGCTAATGGTGCTGCCCAGCTTGGCCAAAGTGCTGTCCTCATCCGCATCGTCTGGCTTCTGCTTGTCGTAGATATACTCCACGCCGGTGCAGCGCACAATGCCGGAATCATTCAGCTCGAAGTACGCCTTGATGCCCTTGTTCTCCACCAAATCCTTCTTCAGGCTCTCCAGCAGTTCCTTGACCTGCCGGATTTCCACGCGCGTTATGTTCAGGCTGCCAATGGCGGCGACCGTCTCCTGGCTGTAGCGCTCCAGATCCCCGTAGTTCACGAAGAACTCAAAGTCATCCGAGTGCTTGTTGAAGGTGATGACTTTCTTCTGTGGATAGGGATTCATGAGGCCGAAGAGCACGCGCTTCACCTTCTTCGCAGAGACACCGTCGGCGGCCACGCTGTCGAAGATCACTTGCAGGGGATACAGCACAGCATCCTTGACGACGAACTTCTTCACTTTGAAGCCAGCGGAGAGATCCGCCGCCTTGTACACAGCGCCCATGGTGGCCGACTCGTCGGCATTCAGATTCTTGCCCAGCTCCTGCTTGATCAGCGCCTTGATGGTCTCCTGGACGCGTGGCACACGCGTGCCACCGCCAAACAGGATCACTTGGGTGATCAGATCGAGGCTCAGATTGGACGAGGCGAGAGCCTGCTGCAGCGGCTTGGTGGTGCGTGGCCACAAATCGGCGCAGATCTCCTCCAGCTTCTCGCGCGACACCTGCAGCTTAAAGTCGATATCCTCCAGCAGGTTCTCGATCTGCGCATAATGATCGTTGTTCGCCGAAAGGACATTCTTCAGGCGACCGGCCTCCTTGAAGAGCTTGGCCAAGGCACGCGGACTGGTGGTCACATCCGTTTTGGTCTTCTTCAACGCATTAAACTCCTTGGCCAGATAGTCGCGCAGTCGCAGCTGGATCTCCAGGCCGCCCAGCGTGCGATCAAATCCAACGCCCAGCACCTGCACCACGGGATTGGTCTCCTTGGTCTGCTTGTCCTTCACCAGCTGGTAGCTCACAACAGCCGCCGATGTCTTGTAGGCGCCCATGTCGTAGAACAGATAGTACTGCGCCGTCTCGTTGATCTCGCCACGATGGAAGACGCCATAGTTGAGGGCCACCGCCGCATAGTCGTTGATCAGCTGCAGCACCTTCAGGTTGGCCAGCTGTGCGGCTGCCAGCAACGCCTCACGCTCCGCCTGCCCAAAGTAGCCGGGCACCGTGAGCACACACTCGGCGATGGACTGCTGTGTGGATATCTGGGCGTACTCCTTGGCCTTGACCAGCATTTGGGCGATCAGCTCCTCAACGGAGAACTCCTCGGTGTCGCTTTTCTTGAACACCACCGTATTACGCACCGGATCACCGATAATGTTGTAGTACGGAAAGCGTTTCCTGGAGAGAGAGATTTACAATTAGAAGACAGAATGTCCCAGAGTCTCCAGCACTGACGTGGCCCAAAAGCCCAACACACACACAGACACAGACAGAGACAGAGACACACACACAGACACACACACACACACACAGACACGACTTACCGGTATAGATCCACAATGGGATTATCGATGGTCTTGCCAAGCAGATCCAAGAGATAGCCATAGGCCGAGTTCGGATCACGTATGCCAATGGTTTGGGCATCCTCGCCAACGGTGCGCACGCCATCGCGGAATGCAATTATGGCTGGAGTCTTGCGCTTGGACTCACGATTGAGGGCTATCTCCATGGGCACACCGGGCGAAACGACGCCCACTTTCATCCATTCGGTGCCCAGGTCCACGGACATAACGGCAGCCGATTGGGCACTGGGCAGTTGCAGTACTCCCAGGAGAACAACAGCAACACCCAGCACGAGCATCTGTGTGCGCCACGAGCCACGGCCCGGTCTCGCTAGCAGTTCCATTTTTTCTGCACGAAATTACAACAACAAGAAATTATGAATTTATACAAACTGTTTTTTGAGCCATGCACCACCACCACATGCTGGTGGGGGAGAGCATTAACCTTTTGTATTTATTTCCAGCTACTTCTTTTTGCGTTTGCTTTTGCTTTTGCCTTTGCTTTTCAGATACTTTTGGTTCTTTCGTCTTTTTTTCTCGTTTTTTGCAACGCAAGCAGCTGTCGGAACACCGCTTCACTCACTCTCTCTCCCTTGTACAGCGTTTCAAGCGCTTTTTGAAGTAGTTTTTACTTACGTGTCGGTTTTTTGTGCACGTCGATTGGAAAATTTAACACGAAAGAATCGCGCCGACGTTTAGGTCAGTGTGACCGCGAAATTAACGGAGAGTATATACCGAAATATACCTATTCATTTTCAGAACATACCGCATATATACCGTAGTCGTAAACACATTTCCTTAATTTTGATATGCCATTATATATTACCAGCTAATTGGGACTCTCACAACTTAAACTATAATTTTATCCAATACGTCCATTTATTTTCTTTACGATTGATGCATTTCAAAGGCTCTTTTATTGAATTTTCAATTTAATCAGATGCGCTTATTTTTCTTGCGAAAGAAAGTGCCATATAATTCACTCGGTGCACAGTATGACCAAGGTGCGCAAAGTGCATGCTGCACGGCAACACTGTTTTTTTGTGTATGTTTAAACAAATCAAATCCTTAAAATAATTGGATTTATAAATTATAATATACATATAAGCTGTTTTCGTTGATAAGATTAAAATAAGATAACCAAAAGCTGGCTGCGCAATTTTCTGACGAACAAAAAACAGGGTTGCTTTCTTATCGTTTCCATAGGAATATCGACTCTGAAAAATATATCGGATTAAGGCGCCTAAATTTGAATGCTTTAATGTCTCAAACTCATTTTGTAAATGGAAAAATTATGCTGAATACAACCATTAAGGTTCACTTATTGACGCTTCAGCATTCCAACATTGACCGAGTTTTCATATTTTTACATACTTACAAGTGTACCATACACTTACATACATATTTACATATTGTATTGCTGACCAAGAGAAACATAATTTGACTTTGTCTGCTTTTTAGCTGCTAACCCAAAGAGCAGAAGAGAAATGCACCCTACAAGTGTGATCTGGGCCAAAAGTAAGCACTGCTTGGCACTTTTACAGCGAAACGAGTCGAGTCGAGTCAAGCAGTAAATGCCGAGAGTGAAATGACTTTGAATTGGATCGATTCTAGCGAACTTAAACAGAATCGAGCCAGAATTTCCACTTGCGCAACTTTTTGGGTAGTCTCGAAATTTTGTGCTGATTTGTTAGCTTTTTGTTCATATAAGAACTGCCCCCTGCCACCTGATTTCAGTTTACATTTCGAGATCGACCCTCGAGCAGCATGTGCGGATCGCTTCTCCCTTCACTACTGGCCATCGGATGCCTGCTGGCCCTGGCCTCAGCTGACTACAGGCAGGACTTCGAGGACTTGCCCGCACCCGACAGCGAGTTCGATGAACGTCCCGCACGATCCTCTTCGGGCATTCCGGCTCAAGCATATGCCGCGCCCGTAATCTACAATTCGCAGTCCAGCTACTCGGCCCCTGCGGCACCTGCGGCACCGTCTTATTCAGCGCCAGCAGCTCCAAGTTATTCGGCACCTGCATCTCAAGGATATGCAGCCCCTCCCTCTTATTCAGCACCTGCTGCTCCGAGCTATTCAGCACCAGCTTCCCAAGGATATTCAGCGCCTGCAGCACCATCTTATTCAGCGCCTGCAGCCCCATCTTATTCAGCGCCTGCGGCTCCGAGCTATTCAGCACCAGCAGCTCCATCTTATTCAGCACCAGCAGCTCCATCTTATTCAGCACCAGCATCTCAAGGATATTCAGCGCCTGCAGCACCATCTTATTCAGCGCCTGCAGCCTCATCTTATTCAGCGCCTGCAACCCCATCTTATTCAGCGCCAGCGGCTCCGAGCTATTCAGCACCAGCAGCTCCATCTTATTCAGCACCAGCAGCTCCATCTTATTCAGCACCAGCATCTCAAGGATATTCAGCGCCTGCAGCCCCATCTTATTCAGCGCCCGCAGCCCCATCTTACTCGGCACCTGCGGCTCCGAGCTATTCAGCACCAGCCGCTCCTTCCTATTCAGCACCAGCAGCTCCATCTTATTCAGCACCAGCATCTCAAGGGTATTCAGCGCCTGCAACCCCATCTTATTCAGCGCCAGCGGCTCCGAGCTATTCAGCACCTGCACCTCAAGGATATTCAGCGCCTGCAGCCCCATCTTACTCGGCACCCGCAGCTCCATCTTATTCAGCGCCTGCAGCCCCATCTTATTCAGCACCAGCACCTCAAGGATATTCAGCGCCTGCAGCCCCATCTTACTCGGCACCCGCAGCTCCATCTTATTCAGCGCCTGCTGCTCCATCTTATTCAGCCCCAGCGGGTCCGAGCTATTCAGCACCAGCATCTCAAGGATATTCAGCTCCAGCGGCACCATCTTATTCAGCACCTGCAGCCCCATCATATTCATCAAATGCTGCTCCCAGCTATTCAGCACCCAAATCATCTTATTCAGCACCCGCAGCACCATCTTACTCGGCACCTGCGCCTCAAAGCTATTCAGCACCATCCTATTCAGCACCCGCCGGTCCATCATACTCTGCCCCAGCGGCTCCAAGTTATTCAGCCCCAGCAGCTCCATCTTATTCCGCACCCAAATCATCTTACTCATCATCCGCACCGTCATCGTACTCAGCACCGGCTGCACCAAGCTATTCAGCACCAGCGGCTCCATCTTATTCAGCGCCTGCTGCCCCCAGCTATTCAGCACCAGCGGCTCCATCTTATTCAGCGCCTGCTGCCCCCAGCTATTCAGCACCAGCGGCTCCATCTTATTCAGCGCCTGCTGCTCCCAGCTATTCAGCACCAGCGGCTCCATCATATTCAGCACCTGCTGCTCCCAGCTATTCAGCACCTGCCGCTCAGAGCTATTCAGCGCCTGCAGCTCCATCTTATTCAGCGCCTGCAGCTCCATCATATTCAGCACCAGCTCCTCCCAGCTATTCAGCACCAAAATCATCTTATTCATCCTCCGCACCGTCGTCATACTCGGCACCTGGCGCTCAAAGCTATTCGGCACCTGCGGCTCCATCTTATTCAGCACCTGCGGCTCCCAGCTATTCAGCACCTGCGGCTCCCGCATATTCCGCACCGAAATACTCTGGCTACGCTCGCATGGGGGATATGCTGGGATCAGCGAGAACTGCCAGCTACGGCGGCGCCACCATACCCGCCCAGCCCTGTCCCAAGAACTACATATTCAGCTGCCAGGGCGTGTTCCAGAAGGCGGCCTGCAGTCAAGGCTCCTCCTACTAAGGACATGGCATATCGCCATGGCAACATCAAGAAATTATAGCAATAAAGTTGAAGAGCAAAATGAGCACCCAACCCCCCCCCCCCCGATGGATGTTATTTACTTTGAAGTGTTTGAAGTTTGAAGCAGAAGATCAATTCAGAATTGATTTTTCTCTCGTTGCTGTCTGTGTATGTGTGTGCTTATGTGTATGTGTGTGTGTGTGTGTGAGTCTGAATTTGTTATCATACATTCTGGTAGCCCATGCCCCCAGCCCAATGTTGAACTGCCCGCTTCTGGCGCTCTCTCTCTCTATATATATATATTTTCGTTCTTTAAAAAGCACTTATGTAGCCTTAAATCAGCAATAACTACGTAAATAGCTCTACAGTTATGCATACATATGCGTATATAATATATTTATCGAACATTTACGAGAGGAAATCATAATTGATGCAAGTCTCAGCTTGGCGCGTCTTTTGAATATTGTAGTTATCGATAAACAGAGTTGACTATTAATCGATAGGCACACAAATGCTCCAGCGACTGGTCCATAGATTAAGAGGTATTATTCAGATGCCAAACAGCAGCTCCAAACAGCAGCTCAATGTATAGCTATATTTTTGCAATGCCAAACAACGAACCTCCCAAAGAGTGCGTTGAACGAGTGCGGCATTGGCCAAAAAACAAAAACCCGAGGCCAGACCCCAGACCCATCCATAAGCCATCCAAAAAATGTGGCATTCAAAGCGGAATAAAGCAAAAACAAGGAAGGCTAACTTTGGAGGCCGCAACCAAAGCAAACCAAAGTCTGAGCAGATCTGTCTCGTTCCGAAGGCTTAAAGCCACAAGGGATCGATCGACCAAAACAATTTGCTCAAATCTTGTGGCTCTTCGGTAAGCAACTCGAAATGCACTCAACGGAACCATTTCGGTGTGGGTGCGGCTGTGCTCTTCAATCAACGTTGACCCCCCGTAGCCCTGAGCTGGGTCAGCAGTCACACAACGATCGGATGATAAGCCAGGGGGGCAGACGGAAACGATAACGCAATAGAAAGAGAAAGGATATGATGCGAATACAAAAATAAAAACATTTAAGCATGCAACTAAAACTAAAACTTAAGCAAATCAATTCAAATGCAATTCCTTTTTCTGTTCTTTTTTTTTTTGGTATTTTTTTGTATAATTTATTTTGCCGTTGGTCGATCAATACAGCTGATCGCTCGGAGAGTAACTACATGTGTGTGTGTGTGTGTGTGTGTGTAGGAATATTAACTAAAAAATGGAAATACATTTACGCATTAAGGTTCGAGCTAATGTCTAAGTAATTCTGCTAGTACTGATAACACAAAAATATATTATTTAATAGTAAATCATAGACGTAGTTGAAAAAAAACTTAACTTAAAAATCAAACAAAATATTTCAATAGGTAACAGAATTTAGGACCCCTGGCAGTATAATCATACCCTTAACATTGCTGAGGGCCCAGAGAGCCGATTTGTGGTTTAGGCCTGACAAGAGAAACGAAAACGAAAACGAAATCGAAAACGAAAGCTTAGGCGAGGCGAGGCGAGGCGAGGCGAGGCGAGGCTAATAGAAAATTTGCAAACAAAAAAATATAAAGATTATTTATATAGCTGTATACATATGCCTAAACATACACATAGCTGCATGCATGTATTGTGTGTATATAAAATCAATGAAAGTCAAGCAAGCGAAAGTTGCACAAGAGCGACAGAGCGGGAGAGCGGGAGAGCGGGAGAGGGAGATTCTCTTTGGCTCTTCCCTCTCGCAAAGAAAGTGCAACTCAGCTCTCTCGTCTCTCTGCTCTTTAGAAATATTTTGTTTCTTCACTAATACTATCATAATAAATGTTCATTTTCCACACATACATAATATCATAATATTCATGATTTTTCTGCCTTTTTTTGCGTGTTCTTTTTTTTTTGTTTTTTTTTTTTTTGTTTGTTTGTTTGTTGTTCCTTCTTAATAACATTTTGTGGTTGTCTCCCCATTTTCTTTAGTCAAAAAAACTTAAGTATTCTATCACAGCCATCACACTTTTTGCTCTTTCCCTTTTTGCGAAGAACAAACAAATGTTTTTGTTTCCTTTGAACCTTATAAATATTGTTGCTTAATTTGTGTGTGTGTGTGTGTGTGTGTGTGTGTAAGTATTAATAATATATAGATCTTAGGACTATGCTCATATTTTCGTTATATATTTTGTTTTAATTTGCTTGATTTTCATTTAAATCTTTTTTTGAATGCACTTTTGTTGGTTTTTTGCTTATAAATTTTGTTTTGTTTTTGTTTTTGTTTGTTTGCTTCGAGGCTTGCTTCCATATTTAGTAAAAATTCTAATTGCACTTTTTTGTGATTTTCTTTTTGTTTGTTTTTGCTTTTTGCTGGTTTTATCGCATTTTAAATTGCTTAATTGCTAGTTTTAATCAACATTTTTTGCTTACAATTTCCAATCTTGGCGACAAAAGAGATTACAACTAAACCAATTTCGAACCGAAAGTTCTTCTTTGTTTTCTTTTTAATTTACGCAATTGAAACCATTTTCTGTTGACTAGGAGAACGTCCTTTAATCCATATACATTATACATAAAGTATTTATGCATATCCTTGAGTTGTAAGCATACAAATTGTAAATACAAATACAAATTCCGATGTTCAGCATAAAATTCAGCTTAGCTGCGGAACTAGGTGAGAGCTTGATGAAATTGCTAACAAGTTGGCGGCTTCACCGCAGGGCACTCTCTTTCGGGGACCAATAGCTCGGACTCCAACCCTTTTCGGCGTGGTGAATAGCGCCCCCGCACAGCGGATAACGCCACCTTGTTGGTAATTTCACCATGGACGAGGGAGACTCCAGGGAAGTCTCAATGTGTGTAGAGGGTAAGCGGTGCATCTACTGGCGCATACCCTGGAATGTGCTAGACCTTTTGTTTGATTGCTTTTGAAGGTTTGTTTTTTTTTGTTGATCGGAAGTTCGTGTTCATGAATGGAGTTCTCCTCTCTGCGTAACCAAAACTGGAAGCAAACTTATGTCTTAACTAAATGAACATTTTATTTACATACAAATGTAATGTATGTATGTATTAATGTATGTATGTATGTATCTATGAATGCATGTACATACACTGATGAAGCTTACAATTCTCTTGCTCTCTCTCTCTCTCTCTCGCTCTTTCTTTAAAAAAATAATTTCTTTGTTTTTTTTTTGTATTTTGTATTTTTTTTTTCTTTCCCTTTCTTTGCATTTTGACTACAAATTCTTTGATTTTTGTTATACTTCCTCTCTCTCTCTCTCTCTCTCTCTTTTGTTTTTCTCATTTGTTGTCTCCGTTTGTTCTTTGTTTCTCTTTCTTCCTGCTTGTCCATTTCTTAAACGCTTCTGCTTTGATTTTTATTCTAAAATATTTGATTTTTCTTCTTTGTACAAATCCTCCGCAAGATGCCGCTGCCCTCAACTCTCTCTCTCTCTATCTTGGGCCCCAAATGCTCGCAATGAGTAATACTGGCATCTCGCTCGCTCTCACTAGTAGCTAGCTATAACCTAGAGATGTGTGTGTGTATGTGTGTGTAAGTGTGCCTTACATAACCTAACTCTTTGTCTGCGCTTCTCCGCTCCCCCGCCAGAGCGCGTTTACTGATACTTTCATGTCTCCAGCGAGGTGACCACCAGATTGTGAAACACACTCGCCGACTCACTCATCATGGCCGCCTGGCCGCACGAGTCACTGGCGCCGCTCGGCGACGTCGGCGTGCCCAGCCGCAGGGCATCCATTATCACCTCAAAGTCCTTCTGGTTCTGATTCATGTCGAAGTCGACCAGCTCCAGATGATGATGATGATGGTGATCGACGACGGACAGCTTGTTGCGCTTGCTGCTCGGACTGTCCATGGAGGCGCCAGCGCTCGATCCAATGCCCATTCCCATTCCCATTCCCATGCTCATTCCCATGCCCATTCCCATGCCCATTCCCATGCCCATGCCCATGCCAACGCCCATGCCCAGTCCGACCACGTCCAGGGGGCAATCCTCGATGGCGGAGATGAGACGCTGCGGCGGTATGTAGAACTGCGATAGGGCTTCGCGCACCAGCCGGTCGCTCTCGTCCTCGCTGATGCTGTTGCTCCTCATTCGCTTGCGGGATGCGGACAGGGAGGCCTTCTCCAGCTGCTCCGCCCCCTGCGTGATCTCTGGGTCAATGAGCAGCATCGGCGCATTGATGGCGCTCAGCTCGCGGTCGAGTATCTCCAGATCGTTCACCAGATTGCTGCTGGACAGATTACGCTTCCGGATGGCCGCCGCGGCGGATTGCGAGGCGGGCGTGGCCGCTGCCTGGCGCATTGGTGGCTGATTTTCAATGGAGCACATGGTGCGGCCCGTGGCAGAGCAGTCTGCGTATTGGGATTTGGCGTTGCTGTTGCTGTTGCTGTTGCTGCTGTTGTTGTTGTTGTTGTTCGGCTTGGCATCATCCATGTTGGGCTGGAAGAGATTCTCACGCGCCAATTCCGGACTTCGGCCGTCAGTTCTGCAGAGAGAGAGAGAGAGAGAGAGAAAGTGAAGGGAAAGTTAGTCAAGAGTTGGACACACAGCAAAAACACAGGGGGAAATTGTTATGGCTGCAATATTTTCAGTTTCAGTTTCAGTTTTAATTAAAAGGAAGAAGGCAGAATGCAGAAATCAGAATGCAGGCAGAACCGTTGCCATATTGATCAACTATCGTCAGCTTGTATCGATCTCTACATAGTTGCGGTGATATCGATACAACGTGCACTCCCTCCGATGCATATTAGTGCAAAAATCGATAGCCCATCAATCGTTTTATCGAGTTCAAACTTCGCTCTAATCAATCAACGTCCTGCCCTCTCCCCTTGTCTCCCTGTCCT